AAGGGTTCTATAAGGGTTACGATAAGGGCTAGTATAATAGTTTTAAAAGAGCTACTACAAAAGCTACTATAAGGGTTCTACAGTTCTACGATTCTTGTAGGGTTACGATAAGGGCTATTATAATGGCTCTAAAAGAGCTACTACAAAGGCTACTATAAGGATTCTATAGCAGTATCTCAACAGGGCGGCTAAGGTAAGCCAAACGATCCTCAAGCGTTGACGTTCCATGGAGCTTCTTGCAGTAGCGATGGTAGTATAGGGGTCGTGATCATAATTTGTAGTATGCTCAAGTGATTCCTTTACGTTTCGTTACGTTTTTACTGAGATGCAATCGTATACTCCAGAACCCCCTTCTGATCAATATGTCCTTTTGCTTCAAAATCAGAACTTTCAACCCTGAGCTTCTAAACCCGCTGGAACGCCTCCCGTCTTGGGGTCGCTACCCTCGAGCCACTGAGCCCTACACGAAATTCTGAGCCCTAAGCCTTGAATCCTCAAAGGAATGCTTGAGACGAATCCCTTAGAGGAGCCCTAGAAGGAAAGCTGAAAAGGGTTCTGAGACGAATCCCTTAAAGGAGCCTGTCGCAGAGCCCAAAAAGCAAAGCTTAAGAGGGATCCTCAAAGGAAGACTTTCAGCCGAGCGCCCACATCCTGACCTCTAGTAGAGGATTCATTTGGGGTCCCTCTTGTAATTAGTGTTCCGCATGCGCCGAAGCCCGATTCTTAGTATGAAGGCCCCTAGTTTGGGTTTAGGGTTGAGGGCCCTTGATAACATCCCGAGCTCGAATCTGACACAGTATTGGGGTCGGAAAGACTAGCAGCATGCCTGCATCGTCTCCAGATCCAGCTACAGATAGCATAGCCTACCCCAAAGCCCTATGCAGACTACTAGGCCCTTATACTTTCTAGCTTTAAAGGAGACCTGTTCTGAATATTACAGCCCCTTTGTAACCCACGACAGGTTCCGGGAGAAGCAGGAAGATCGGTGGAAGGTGGCAGAAGCGGAGGAAGCGGGTTAGGTGTTCGGGGACTTGGGTTTATAAGGGCTTCTGGATTTAGGGTTCAAGGTTCAGGGTTTCAGGTGTACGATTTTGGGCTTTGGGTGTAGGAAGTATTGTAATCTGCGGGTGCTAGCGGTTGTTTTTCGGGTGGTTTCTGATGTCAAGTGTTGGTTAAACGGTTCGGTATTGTTGAAGTGACTTCGGCCTACTTTAGGGTATGAGGGCTGTGTAGGGTTTTTGATTACCCTCAAGCCTAGACCTTGCTTCAGGTGCGATGAGGCTTAGAAGGTCTTAGGAATTGCTTCAAGGGAGAGGATTTGCCTGAAACCTGAAACCCTGGGCGCTGCGAAGCCTCAACCCGAAAAGCCCTAAGCCGCGGAGGCCCCAAACCTTTCGATACATACACCGTATCGGCCGAAAACCTAAGGCCGGCATTTTCTATGTTTCAGTCCATCGACAATTCATCGCCGAGGTCGTTATCATCGCGGGCCAAACTTGTAGTGGACTAAGCGGCAAGTTCAGGATACCATCAGGGTGGTTTGAGGCTGTCTGGGGGTTTGGCGTTTGGGATGAATTCAGTGCTCTCAGGGTTTAGGATTTACAGGTTGTGGGTTCGGGATTTAATTAGGCCTGGTGGCATTTGCGAATTCCAGAGACAGAATCGCCTGAACTCAAAAACAGAAACCCTAGACCCCCTAAGCCCTAAACCCTAAACACTAAACCCTAAGCCCTAAGCCGGTGGCTCAAATCATGGCCACACCAGAGCTCCAAGATCCGAAAGCCTTGAAACCCTTAAACCTTGAGCCCCTCGGTGTAGGGTTTAGGGTTTTGGGTTTAGGGTTTAGGGTCCTCAGCCTAAATCCCGAAGCAGAAAACTCTCAAACCTTCAACCCTTAGCGTGGCCTTTGAATCCTAAACCCTATAAACCCTCGAACCATAAGCCCTCAACCACCCTGAGCCCCCCTTTTCCCCGTAATTACCTGGACCCCAAAAGTATATAGAATAATAGCCTTTTATAGGTGTTGGATCATTAGTTTACCCAAGATTTGGGGGTTTAGGAAATCCTTATCACCTGACCTATCAGGCAGCTTGGGATGCGCTGCGCCCGGCAAATTCGGTTGCTGCCTCCGGCAAGTTGGCTGCGTGGCCGGAACCAGGGTTTCGGGTTTACCCATAGGCCCCATAGTAGTTCCTTTTTGGGATTCCTTAATAGGATCCTCTATACAAGCCACAAAAAGGAACTACTATGGGGCCTATGGGTAGGGTCGAGGGTTTTTGGTACAGAGGGTCCAAGGTTTCGGGTTAAGGGTTCGGTAGAGGGTTTCAGGCTTTGGGTAAAGGGCTAGGGACCAGAAGAAGCACATAAATGTGGAACTTCACACCTTTATGACTCTATGTTTTGCATGCTCATCTAGATCATACAGGCTGTAGGGCTGCGTGCTGCGGATCTGGAGTTTCAGAGCTGCTAAGGCAAGGCAGCTGCTTCCAGGGTTTAGTTTTTACCTGGACCCCAAAAGGATGTAGAATAATAGCCTGTTATATGTGTTGGGCCATCAGTTTACCTACGTTTGGGGGTTTAGGTAGGGGGTTCAGAGAAATGAGTCTAGGACATTTTCAGGTGGGTAGTTACCGTTATAGGAGCCTTATAGAAGGTCTATATACCTTATGGAAGCCTTATAGAGGCCCTATATACCCTAAACTCCCCACATGTAGTTTCCTTCAGTTCCTTCAGATGAGGATTGTAAATTAGCAGCTTAGCAGCAGCTTCCAGGTTAGTGTCCTGACCCTTTGGCAGGGCCGCTTAGGTGCGAAGTGCTTCTGCGCACTGTAAGCCGGAGCCTTAAACCCGTAAGCCCCAAATCCTGAGCCAATGTAACATAGGGGCCTTAGAAATTACCTATACTACTGTGGGGGCTCCTTATTATAATTATGGTATAATATACTCCGAAAACCTATTCTAATTATTAAGGCCCCTGCACCCTGCATTAGACATGTAACAGGCGCGACTGCTGACTTGAGTGCTGCGACCTCTGCTTCTGCTGCCTCGCCTCTCAGACTGTCGCGCATCTTCATTGCTAAATGATCTCCATGTGCCCGCACGGGCAGTTCACGCACCATCTGCTGGGTCTCAGGGCGGGGTTTCGGGTTTCGAGCTCAGGTATGTTATATGCCTTATATACTTTGGCCCTTCGGGTAGGAACTTGAAACTCCTCATGTGTCCGAGTGTGTATACTTGAGCCGCGCGTCGTGGGCCGGGCTGTCTGCAGAACCTATACCCCTGTCATTTTCGTCCCCCTAAAGATAAACCCTGAATCCCGTGCCCCCAACCGTAGAGCGGAACTCCTGTACCTTCATTAGACCTGGAATCCCAGGAGAAGTTGGTGGAGCTGCTGGAGGAATTCCAAGGTGCCACGGGCGCGGAGACGGTGGTGCATACCTGGGAAGGGTTCTTGAAATTAGGTTGTTCAGCACAACAGAATCGAAAATGGATCCTGGGCTGTTTCATCGTTCTGATTCGTGGCCCCGTGTCCTTCGAATACGTAAATACTACCTCAACTAGTTGCGGTAGTTATACGGGTACCTGGTGCCCGTGTTCCTGGTAATGTAGACCTTGGGTTTTACAAACCCCCTTTCTTTCAGGGCCTTGCTACTAGGAGTCGTACTATGACCATAGAAACCTTACCAACACCGTTGAAACACTTTCTCATCCAAACATTGGAATCCATTCCTAAGTCACGGAACTGAGGCGGGCCCAAAGCGTTTTTAACAAGCTTCATGGTGTAAGGCCTGAAACTTGGCCACAGACCCGAATCGAGACTCTAAATTTAGGGTTTAAACCCTAAACCCTAAACCCTATAGGGTTTAGGGAATCGAGACTCTACAGTCAAACGCACCCTGGAATGGCATCGATGCCTCCGAGGCGTGGACAACGACGCAAACCGGATTCTGGTGTTTGTGGCCCAGGCAGGGGTCTGGAACCAGCCAGCATTCTGGGTGTTCCTTTGAAGTATTGCCGGTTTTGCCATAGTACAGCAACCCCAAAGGGCCATGACATGCCAGGATGAACTTGTGTATTTAAATACAAAGAAAACATGAGTAACTTGTAAATGGGAAATTTGTATTCTCACACACACACATATATATATATATATACATACATATATATATATATATATGTATGCATGTGTATATAAATACACACACGCCTATGCATACCTACTTAGTTGCGTACCTACCTACCTACCCTACCTTACGCCTTACCTTACCTTACCTTACCTTACCCTACCCTACCTTACCTTACCTT